TGCCTCACTCGCCGCCACCACCAACACGCCTCCTCGCTAATCCTACACTCATCCTCACACCACCACCTCCACCACCACCACCACTCAGCCCCACCCCCCCGCCCCTTCCAAAGGCCAGACCCCGAACAACTCTGTTCGCTACCTCACATTCATCCTCGTCCTCTTCCCTGCATTCCAACATCACCGCATACCGAGTGAAACACGTCGACAGATAGCTCGACACTCGAAAATCCGTCCGAGATCACAAAAGGTTAGCAATCAGACGAGCAACCTCCCCCGCCCGAGACCTGCTCATCCACTTTCCCCACCACACGCGCACACGCGCACACCTCATCCCCCTCTTTTTCCACCCTTCCCTCCATCCCCTCCCCCCCCCCCCCCCCCCCCCCCCCCCCCCCCCCCCCCCCCCCCCCCCCCCCCCCCCCCCCCCCCCAGGCCCCTCTTTTGGCCGCCACTCCACTCAACTACACTCCACTCCCACTCATCTCCTCCCATCCTCTTTGACTCTTGTACTCGAGTGGCAATACGCTCACACACACGCCACATCCACCACCACTCATTTGTCTTGCATTATTACCCAGCCTTATCTTCGGCTCGCAAAGACAATAGTCATCCCATCCGAACCACTCGCCCGCAGAGCGCCACTCTGTCACTCGCATAACAACTTGCCAACATTCTGGCAACACTCACTCACTTGTTGGTGGCAAACGAGAGGTGTGCGCCCTCAGTCAAACTTGAGACGCACATCCTCATCAATCTCCTCTTATCCTCCACTGGCCCCTCTCCCCCTGCCCGCTCTCCGGACAGGCGCGCCCCCTCCTTGGCGACGAGCCACAAACAACACCCCCCGCTCGACCGCTCACGCACATCATCTTACGACGACGCACAACGCACTTCGTCCAAAACCCAATCTGGATCATCAACAATCATCCTCGTCTCCCCCCGCCGGTCATCGAGCCTGCAGCGGTCGGTAGCAGCATCAAAGGCAATCTCCGCCATCTGCCCGTTCATCTGTCGTTGTCGTCTCCACTGCCCCCCCGCCGTGACCCAACTCGACTTGGACTCCCCCTCCAAGCTGGGACCCTCTAGAGGCTTCACCCGCCACATCTCCTCTCACTGCACACCTTTCCTCATTGTTGGTCCCTCCCAACAACACCACCTACACGTCCTCCTCATCACAACAACCGCACAGTCAGCCATGAACGAACCACCACGTCAATTCGTGTCCCTCGGTAGCATGCCCCAACAGCACCAACACAACCCCTCCAGTTACCCCAGCTCCACCCAGCAGGTTGGAGTCCCTCAATCCTCTGCGACACCAATCCCACGCTGGGAGGTTGCACCCAGCAACTCGGAATCTGGACCGCTTCCCAAGTCGGCCCAGACATCGACGACCATGTACATGCCCTCGCTCAGCAGCCAGGCAAGTCCCATGCAGGGTCTGGCGTTCGACTACACGGCCCAACAGCAGGCTCACCAACCCCGCTATCCCCCACCCCTTAAGCAACATCAACAGGACTTTTACACCACTCCCAGGTACAGCAATCCTCCCCCATATATGACTCCCACGCCGGGAATGCCGGGCATGGCCGGCACCTATCCATTTGCCAACGATGTCGTGGATCAATGGGGCATGCCCCTGCCCGCAACCCCTCGGTCTCCGCCAAAAAAGGGCAAGAATCAGAAGAAGGCCGACGGCAAGCAGGCTACTTTCCTCACAAAGCTTTACCAGTGAGTGGCAAGTGGGCTGTGTGAGACTACTGACTTGCAGACTGCTGTACGTTCCCCAAGCGAGCCCTCCCCGCCCTTGTGTGGCCTGTGTTCTATTCTATCGTCGTTGTGTGCTGACATCTGGTAGCGAGGAACCGCAGAATCGCCGAGTACGCCCCCCCAATGTTGTCGCGTGCCCCAGCTAAACTTTACAGATTATTCGCTGGGATGAAACCGGCACCCTCATAATTATCGAACGGCCGGATGAACTGGCCGAGAAAGTCCTGCCTCAGGTCTACCGCCAAACGCGCTTTGCGAGCTTTTCAAGGCAACTAAACGTAAATGTTTTGGATTCCAGGCCCTGGCCACTGCTAAACTCAGATTTATGGATGGATGCGCAAGGTCAGCCTCCGTCATGTGGACAATGGTATCGCAGACCCAGACGCCAGCACATGGTGTACGTTTGTTGGCCTGTTGTTGTTGGAACATTCCTTGTCGCCACTGACATCAGCCCACCAGACTCTCAGAAGGGATTCGAGCAAGGAGGAAATCCAGGGCTACAAGAGGCGTGTGCCACCCCGCCCCTCTCAGGCTCAGAAGAACGCCCAGCGGCTCGCAGAGACCATGTCGCTCAGCTCCGACTCGTCCGACTTTCACTCGCCCCCCGGCTACACTACCCATGCCCTGGCCGCCGGTGAACTCAATGAGCCCAAAACCATCGACTTTGGTCCAGGGTCAGTCTCTGTCAACACGATGGTCGCCGGTGGCAGTGGTGGATCTGCGCTTCAAGCATTCAACCTCGACTCTGTCGTGGGTGGTCCAAACGCCGGTGCCGGTCCAAGCGCCAGTCCAACGGAGCCGCCTCAGGTTCGACGACTGTCAATGCCTGCCTCGACTCGTCCCTCGCTCAGCGGCTTTCAGATGAGCCGTCCCATGCACCACAAGCAGCACTCGATGCCTGGTGTCCCACTCCACGGTGGGCTCTCCTCCTTTTCGTCTGCCTACCCGATGGGCATGCAACCAAACACGCTGCAGATTCTCGATGCCTCTGGTCGTCCCCTCGCTTCCAACGCGCAGCAGCAACAGCAGCAGCAGCAGCAACAACAGCAGCAACAGCAGCAGCAGCAACAGGCCACCACTAACATGCTATCGCCTTCCACTGGCATGAGCGCACTGTGGATTGCAGACGACTCCAAGGACGGTGATCTTTTGCTTCGTGGCACAAACGACGCGCCCTCCTTCAAGGTCGACGACGCCTCCACCTGGGCCCGCCGGGGCACCGGCACGCTCGGCGACGGCTTGCGCCCAACAGGGACGGCTTCTATCAACTCGACGTTCAACAACCACATGGCGTGGATTGACGCGAGCAATCAAGTCTTCCAGCAGCCTGGTCTCCCCGGCTCTGGCATGTCAGCTGAGGCACAGTCTAAGCATGTTGCTACAGGTCTCTCGCCGACTACCTCTATGCTCCCATCTCAGACGACAGAGGCCTTGGCACCCAGTACTGGTCCCCCCGCCACTCCAGGCCAGGTCTCGCACTCTGGTGCAGGCGCAGTGGCTCAAACGGTTTCGCCGGGCGTCTATCAATCCGGCTTTTCGCTTCAAGCTACCGTCTGGATGTCTCCGCGCGGCACGCCCTCTCCGCCTACGGGATCTATCTCCCGCCAAGCGCAAGCACAGGCATCCTCCGCGACCGCGACCGCGACCAAGTCGGAGCGCCGGCAGAGCCTGAGCCACCCCTACTCTCCGCCGAGTGGCACACGCCCAATGCCGGCCGGCACTGTGCGCCACGTCGGCATGGGGCGCAACCGCGACAGCCTAACGATGAGCATCAACACGGCGGCGGCCAGCGGGGCCGAGGACGACGGCGCGCTCCCCAGCGCAAGCCTTACGCAGCCGGAGTTGTTTGCCGGTGAGATTAAGATTGAGAAGCCCGACCTCGAGTGCGTGGTCGTCCGCTTCTGCGCTGACGCCAGGCTTTGAGTGATACCTCCCACGAACGTTACGAACAGGATGACCAGACGCCTGCCACGACCCGGCGTCTCACGACTCGGCCCCCCGACCCCATCGACGTGTCTGTCACGCCTGCATAGGCTGTTATGTGTTGTATCGTCCGCATTCGCGCTGAGCGCTGTCGTAGATCTGGTAACGATGTGTAGCATGCAATTGAGTGACTGAGCGTGTGTGTGGGAGGGGAGGGAGGGAGGGAGGTGTTGGTGGGTGGGTGAGCGGGTGAGTGGGGGAAGAGAGGGGGCAAAGGCAGAGACGACACGGGTGGGCGTCATCGAGGGCGTGAGGGCGTCAGTGAGGGCATGAGGGCGTAAGTGAAGACGGTACGAAGGCGCCGAGAGGAGAGAGCGAAGAAGTCGGCGACTCCTCGCGTTGAGCTTTGCTTGGGCACGGGGGCTCAGCCGGGACTCAGCAAGGGCGCGTCGTGAGAGCAGTGAGAGGAGTGAGCCTCGTGAATCAGTAAATCAATACCTCCCGCAATTTCTCCATACCGCACCTCAGTCTTCGCGGCCGCGCCGCGGCCCGCCTCCCACTGCCCTCCTCCCTCCTCCCCGCTAGGTCTATCGCTGCATCGCTCATACAATCTAACGGCGCACGCCCTGGCTGCGCGGCGCGCCGCGGCGCGCGTTGGCTGGTGTGAGCGACGTGCGGGGAGCAAAGGGAGCAACATACCTCGCTGGATGGTCGCACGTCCACGCGCAGCACCGATACCGCGCCCGCGCATGGCGTTCGGGCCCACGCGCTTGAACATGGGCGCGTTGGCGAGGAGGTCGGGGACGATGATGAAGCGGACCTGGGGTCAGCGGGTGGGGGGGGGCGGGGG